AAAAGTTAATTCAACTCTTTTTTTTTTTTTTAACTTATTTCAACCACACATTTCATCGAAACTTCTACAATTTTTATCAACCTTTCGATCATACATTTCACGAAATTTTATCAAAATCTACTAAAAGTCTAATTTTTATACAAACCAAATAGAGGCTTTTTACTATATAATATAAGCTGGTGTTTGGCCGCGAACAGGAATTGGGGGGTGGGGGTGAATTTGGTTGGGAAGATGAAGTGTTTCTAATTTTTTGTTAATGTGTTAATATAATTTAAATATAGTTTATTATACTTTCGAAAAGCTATGAGACTCCATTTGTAATTTTTTTTTCAAATTTTTTGTTTTTTAATTGCTTTTTAATCAATCATTTAACGGTCAAAATGGAGGAAATAATGTGTTTTGCTACATAATTGAAAGATTTGCTTAAAAAGGTTGATGGTGGTTTTTAAGTTTCGCAAAAGGTTGGTAAGAAAAGTGCAATTTTCCCTTGAAAGTTTAAGAATTTGATTATCAATAAATTTCGAATGGGGACCTAAGTTCCATAGTAGTAAAGTTTAGGGACCGAGGCTATAAACATCCCAATTAATTAAAATCAATATGGCCTCTTAATAAAGTGGATCATATAAGACTAGACAATATTAAAAGAATAAACTAAAATTGTGTTCATTATATTATTTTACCCTATAAATCGAACAATCCCTAAAGGAAAATGATCGACGTGAAGACAGTAATTCGTTGAAACATTTTTCAAAATATTCATACCTTTTGTTCGTTCTTTTATTGCTATCTTTAAACCGTCTCATAAAAAAATAATATCACTACACGCATTGTGTATCTCTTCTATTTATATATACAATTAATGAAAACAAGATATTAGTAATAATTTTCATTAAGTTCTTAACACTTAATTTTGATAAGTATAATTATCTATGCATTCTCTTAAACAAGTTGGATAAAATAGATAAGTATGCAATGTTTGGATAAAATAGATAAGTATGTGAATTTGCAACCTAGTTACTTGTTCCATGAAATTTGCAATTTTCAACTTTCCATAGCCAAGTGGATGCATTTACAGCTTTTAATGCCATTTTTTCTTCCACTCCCAATAATTTGTTTGACTTGTCTAGGTAGTTGTATTTACTCTGTATTTTTCTTACAATTTTATCACCTATTTTCCTTTCTTCAATCTCTTCTTTTAAATTTTGAACTATTTGTTATAACTAAAAACCTTTCTACGTTTTAATTTTTATCTCTTTTACGACTGATAAAGAATGGATGAGATATTTTCCCACTCGACCTGCCCAATTTCTGAAAAATCTCCAGAGGGCAAGGGATGATGAGAAGAGCTATCTCGACTTTGCTCTAACATGTGTCCATCTATGTCCAAAATTAGAAAAATATACTTAACAATAACAACTCTTGAACTCAAAATGTATTGTAATTCAATTATTTATAAAAATAATATAAATCATATTGTTACATGAGGTCATGAGAATTTGGGACAAAAAGTGTCTCTAATGTCATGAAAGTTTTACTTTTACCATTGAAGACTAACTTAATTGATAAGAGCGAAGTTCGTCACTTCTTTAACTTGTGTTCAAGTCTCTTTTAAGAGGACGGGTGAAATTCAATATATATTTTCACCTTTTTATTAATTATTTTATATTGTATTTAAATTTCATGTTATTCTAAAGTCAAACTTCATTTTTCCTTAAAAAAATGAACCAGATTTCCAATTTAACAACTTGGACCCTTACCTTTTATTAAACTTGTACTCAGGGGCGGACGCAGAACTTAAAAGTTGGGGGGCATAATCGAACTTGCAAAAAAATTGAAAGAAATTTTACAATAAAAAATTTACGTCCAAAAAAATCATACCTTATGTAATTTTGCATTCGAAAATTTACATGGATATGACTTTTTCAAATGTAAAATTTCGAAAAATATTTATGTCATATTCCATATAAAATTTCCTAATAAAAAGATTAAAATTATATTTAGAAATTTGTATTGCAAAAATAATAAATATTAATGAAATAATTGAATTTTTTATAGAAAATAAAAATTAAACGTCTTTCTTTAAAACTCACGTTTGACGCATTTTTAACTATTTTCGATATCTGTTTTGATTATTAGATATGCCTATAATATAGTTTTCGAAATAAGTTTTGAGATAATATAAGCAATTTGTTGATTCGATTAGCGTACAATCGTCGAAAATTTTTTAAAATTAGCATATTATCGAAATTTTCGAAATAATAATTTTGAACAACTTACTTTGACAAGTCGTAGCATTTGCTACGATTGATCGTTTCGTACGCCATTAATGACGTAGAAAACTAGACCATGAACACTTCGAAATGGTATTAAGAATGCAATATTTCGCCCTTGTATGATGCAGAGTTAAGATTTTGTTAAAAGTCGAGAGAAAAAGAGAAAAATTAAAATTTATTATGATTTTGCCCCTATTTGATGGAGATTAAAATCAAATTTTTAGTAAATTTTGATTAAAATTAAATAGTTATGGATTCCATGAAATATGTTGTTAAAATTAATTGTTAACTTTGATTTAAATTAAAATTTATATTTCAATTGATACCAAACATGATTTTATATAATTTTTTTTAAAAAAAAAGTTGGAGGGCACGTGCCCCTAGGACCCCCGGGTCCACCCATGGTTGTACTATCATCCTAAATGATAAGACCCGTTTAATCTGTTTATAAATGATCAAATTAATTTTTATTTATATGTTTCGTAAAATTCATAAGTATTATCCACTTATTCACCACCAATTTTTATCTATTTATATTTTAAATATTTTATAAACAACTTTGATATTGGCTCTTAGTTAAATATAAATGTGACATTTACATGTCTAAATTTATAAAATTGTAGATTTTATTTGTCAATATAAGTATATGCCTTCGCGAGGGTCTCATACTATTTTAACAAAACCTCAAACAATATTTGTAAAAACTTAAAATGTTGTTAAAAATTTAAGGTCGAAGTCAACAATTAATTTTAAACACACATTATATGGAACACATAATTTGTATTAAATTTTCAATCATATATATATATATTTTTTTTTTATTTATCAAAAGCTCTGTCCAATGACCCTGAATATTAATTTGCAACTGTATTAAAAGCCCAAACCAGGCAGTTCTATTTTTTTTTTTCTTGACAAAAAAAAAATTAAATTAACTCTTTTGACTGGGTAAACTGAAATTACAACTTTACCCCCCACAAACTTTAACCACGTGGATCCCGAAATTGATTCGCGGCCACAAGTTTTGCTTAACATTGACGTGTTAGCAACTGTGAATCCGAGCCGCCGCATTAAATGCCACGTCATTTGATCATGCACACGTGTCGTTTTCTGCTCCAAATGTTTCTGCGACGTCACCTTTGCTCAGAATTCAAAAGGTTTTGACTGAGGTAATTACAAAGTCCTTCTGCATGTACCCCACCGACAACTCACTGGGTCATTTTTTTTGTTTTTTTATTGAGGTGGGTCCCAGTCGGTGGGGGATCGATGGGGTTTTGAACACCACTCTGTACGTGCAGAAAAGCTCAATTACAGACCTCTTGAATTGGCCATCCTAAAACACGTCAAGATGTGAACTCCCAACAAGGGTTGGACAAAATATTCGAATCGAATCGAACCGAATCGAGCGGGTTTTTTAAAATGAAATACCCGAAAGGGTATTCGAATCGAGAATCGAATGGTTTGGTTCAGTTTTCGACCAAGAACCGAAGAACCGAATAAGATTCAAATTTTTTTTTTTATATTGGATAAATCAATTTCTTTTATTTTTTCTAAACAAATTAATAATTTTTTT